GTGAATCACCCTATTCTGAATTCCACAGTTCATGTGAATATGCCACAACTTGATGAGGTCACGCTGGCTAACCAACATAGCATGCCTTCCAATTTACAGTATTAGGGTAGAGGCTGCTTTAAAGGCTTATCAAGTGGTCTCATTTTAAAAGCAACAAACCCCGAATAAAGTTGGAAGTGAATTTTTTAAAAAAACCTACCGTAAACTGGGGTCTGAACTGCCTAAATTAAGTAATGCGATATTGAGCAGCGTCCCAGGGACATCTTTCGGCCGAATCTTGGTGTGCTGGGGGATGGAATCGGGCTGCGACAGCTCCCAGCGCGTCCGGATGTGGATGATAGACTGGACAATGGCATCACACTCCTGGTGCATGAAGGTGAGCGGTGTGCCCTGGTTTGCAATAGTTAAGGTGAACTGGTTCTCATCCACTAGGCAGATTTCTTCAATTTCCGAAGCATAATAGATATCATTGAGAAAGACTGACTGCCCCAGGACTTTTGTTCGCTCTGCTGAAGTTACCTGAACAGCAGTAGAGCCAACCTGGAAAGTGGTGGTGAGAGGATGGCGTGAAGAATTAAATTCCATTGTGTTGAGTTGTAAGAGGCCCCAAACCAACCAACCAACCAACCAACCATCTAACCAACCAACCAACCAACCAAAATACTATGCTCGCCATTTACAGAAGAGTTACCACCATTATATATTCAAATGGGTTCAAGAATTATTGTAATAAATGCTCTCGAAGAGATGGAAAACATCAGAAAAAAATTTTGTTTTTAAAAAAGGTCAAGAACAATTGTATAGACAATTACTGATTTTATCCTGAAGGTTCATGTTCCTCATTCTGCAAAAAGCATGTAATAATCAGAATTCTCATTAGATAATTTCCACTTTCCACACATCCCTGCCATCTGAGTGGTAGAGCAAACTGCCTTCTCTACAACACTCTCCTGCCTCAAACCCAACCTGGAGTATCACTACGTGCAAACACCTCGCATCACCCACAGGACCTCCATGAGATAGATAGCTTAGTTTCTCTCCCTCTGGACTGACTCTGCATCTGATCCAGTACCACAGGGACACTTAGAAAGGCCAGCATACCTAGTCTGGTTAGTCATGAAAGGCAACGAACCGAATACAGAGTGAAACTTACTTTGATAGAAACCTTGGTGTCTTTGTGAGCGAGCCTGAGAGCATTGTGGAACACCTTTAAGTCCTCTTCTAAAGCCAAGGTGGCAGCGGGCAGCTTCTGTTGTTCATGCTCTATGTGCTCGGCCAGTTTCCCAGGACAGTCTATGAAAATGAGCCTTTTGCTGCCTTTGAGGCCAGTCAGCAGCCGCTCGTGATACTTGGTGTACTCCCTGACCCAGGAGTTACAGTTATAGATATAAACTGCAGACACATTGTCATAAGCAAAGCCAGGAAAAACAACAAACCACTTAGAGAGAAAGTCCGTTTTAAAGCGGTTGCTAGGCCCAGTATGAGTAAGGTCCACTACAATTTCATATGGCTTTGCATAATATGGCTTTAAAGTCAGCAAGACATGGTATATTAGCAAATCACCGTTGATTTGACCAGTTTTGAACCTAAGGAAGATGAAAAAAAAGGACACAGATTGTTAACAGAGTTCTAAATAGATATATAGATGCTACAAATCTATTTTATTACTTTATTTTCTGATTAACTTTCTAGAGAAAACAATAATACAAAACAATTATACAAAGTCCAGATCCTTTTGCTTTTTAATCCTTACACAAGGATATGTTTTTACTGATTTTTGGGGGGGAGGGGAGGTAGAGGGGGGAAGAAACTTTGATGTGAGAGAGAAGCATCTCCTGGTTGCCTCCTGTACGTGCCTTGACCAGGGATCAAACTCGCAACCTAGATACACAGGATGATGCTCCAACCAACTAAGCCACCTGGCCAGGGCTGGATCCTTTTTTAAATCAGTTGTTCTTTAGACAATGAGAAGTAAGGCTGAAGTAAAACAGTTCCATTTTTTTAATAAGCCAGCCAATTCAAAAACTGAGCAACGACAATAACAAGAAACCTGTCCATCACAGTCAATCGAGGCGGAAGGCAGTATACATTGGTTAGTTGCCTCCAGGCCCACCAAACTTCCCAGGTGAACAGAATGGTTCAGTAATGATCATATGACTCAAATTAGGACAACCAGAGCCAAAGAGGTCCAATTCAGAGATTGTAGTTTAAACTGCTGGGAATTGACACTTATAAACAAGGGGACACCGAGCCCTGGGAGTTGTTAGTTCATATCTTGAGATATAAAGGAATGTGTGCCTAAAAACGGAAGATATGGAGCAGAGAAATAAAGTAACTCAATTTCATTGGAGCCCTAGATAAAGCCTCTCCTGGGATTAAATTTCTCCCTGGACTATTCAGTTGTATGAGCCAGCAAGTTCCATTTTTTTAATAAGCCAGCCATATTAGGTCATGTGTTGCTTATACTAAAAATAGTGCTAAACAATGTGAACAGCCAAAGTTAGGACCAACAGAAAGCCCTGAAGAACATAGTACTAGAATTTCAGTCAAGACCACCTCTATGAACTTTGGCCCAAAGTTCTATACTTGATGACCCTGGTAGTACTACTGCAAACCAGGCTAAGATAAATATCCTCACCTCAGAGTTTTTAATCTTGTTGGGAGGAAATAAGATAAAAATATGACATGTTCAATGATTTTAAAATAAAAGAAAAATATTTCAAGATCAAAGAAAAGATATGAGATAGTATGTAACCACTTATGAAAGAACTGCAGAGAAAAATACTGCAATTAAGTTCAGAGGAGGGAGACATCAACACAAACTGGGTAGTCAGTGACAGCTACTTAGAAGACACACTAGCTGATGTGGATAGGAGGAATTTCGAACTCAACAAGAGGGACTGGCAGGAGAGAGTCCCTCATGGAGAGCGGAAAAGAGGAAAAGAAATAGGTAACTAGGAGTATGAGGCCACTGTCAGCTAGTTTAGCTTGAACGGAGGATTCACATAGAAAAATTCTAAGAGATAAGGCTGGAAAAATACATAACAACTAAATTGTGAAGGGACCAAAACTGTTCAACTAAGGAGCTCAGGTTTTCTCCTAGGAGCTCAGTATTCTTCAGAGTGTGTTCTGTGTCACACCAGCATGAGAATCAGCTGTGGTCCTTGATAAAAATGCAGTTTCCTGGTCCCAGTCCAGACCTACTAGTACATATAAATCTATGCTGTGGGGCTAGGCAGTTTTCATTGTTTTTAAACAACCCTCCCATCTAATAACTATGTGCATGAACATTTCTAAATCATTGCTATAGGTGTTAAGGAGTAATTCAACTTTTTTTTTTTTTTTAAAGAAAGGGGTGATATGATCAAAGGAAGTAATATATACAAGATATATAAAGGAGGCAGGGCTAGTAAAAAAGATATTGCAGTAGTCTAGGCATGGCCTAATAAGGATCTAAAACACAGCCATACACCACTTAAAGACATAAGAATACATTCTGAGAAATTCAGATAGGCAATTTTGTCGTTGTGCAAATGTCAGAGTGCACTTACACAAACCTGATGGTACAGCCTAATATTGTAATTGTATGAGCTGTATTTTTATATGACTGGCAGTGCTTTAGGTCTGTTTACACCAGCATCCCCACAAACACGTGAGTAATGTGTTGTGCTGTTATGTTACCATGGCTACTAGGCAATAGAAATCTATCAGCTCCATTATGTAATCTTATGGGACCACCACTGTATAAGCGGGTCAGTCCTTCTGTGGCTCAAGACTGTACTACAGTGATAGTAAAAAAGAAACTGATCCAAGAACATAAAGAAAGGATTAACTTTATCCTAAACCTGATCAGGGCTATAAGAAAGGAATTAAAAGGACTTGCAGTAGAACAAACCTCTGAGATTACAAAGAATGTTGCTATCACAAACAAAAAGAGATCATGAGGGGCAGCCACTGACGGGAGAAAAATGAGGTCCATTTTATATACACCAAATACGAGGTGATGAAAGGACATTTGAAGGGGGAGAGGNAGGAGTTGAGCATCAACCTAGGATCCAGGAGATCGCAGTTTGATTCCCGGTCAGGGCACATGCCCTGGTTGCGGGTTCAATCGCCAGTCAGGGGAGTGTAGGAGGCAGCCGATCAGTGACTCTATCATTGATGTTTCTGTCTCTCTCTTTAAAATCAATAAAGACATATTTTTTTTTTAAAATTTTAAATATAATCTACAAAAAAGAATGTATCATGATCGTATTTGTTAGTAAACATTCATTTGGATAAAGAAGACCTGTTAGCATATTAGAAAACATAACCTGCTGGGAAATGATTAAATTTATTTATTGTAGTAAAATGCACACTCTTCAAATAAGTGACAGATTTGAAGTACAGAGGGTGCAAGCATTTCTGTATATTTAATAAACCATAATTTGGGAATTTGTCTCCTCCATGATAATAAATCCTTATTTCTTTTGTGAAGAAATTATATGTGCTGTTTCCTTGACATTGCTTGGAACTTAATTTGACTTAGCAGGAACTCAAAAAATAATTTACTCATTTATACTTGTAAACTTCATCCAAGCAATAAACCAGCCCATATGGCATCCCAAAAGGCCCTTGAAATGACAGTGAGACTTTAAACAGAACAGATTAAGTTTTCATTGTACTTATTTGCACAGTTTTAGCACTTGCCAAAATAGAGAATTTCATGGAACATTTTTTCACCACACTTAGCAAGTGAAAAAGTGAATTTCAACTGTTAGCACTTATGTACAGCCTATTCTATGAAATACAGGTCTGTTTCATAAAGGTGGTGGGTCAGAATGACGGGTTCCAGTGAAACAAGCTAACATTTACTCTTACTATTCTGTAAGTGTACTTTCTTTTTACCTGATCATCAACATATCCACTCTTGCCTTTTTATTTTATAGAGATCTACTTTGAAAACGAATCATAAATTTGATTAATTTTATTTATTCATTTCAGAGAGGGGGAGGGAGAGAGGGGGAGGGGAGAGGGAGGGAGATTGCTTCTCTCTCTGGGTGTGTGCACACACTAAACCACACAAAAGCTCTTTCCTACGTACTTAAATCGCTGCAGTTCCACAATTTGAGATGTGGCTGATATATATCACTGTTTCTATTATCTGACCAATACCCCACATCTCCAAACTCATGTTATCAAATAAGTCTTTGGCATACAAATAAAATTTTTAGAGATGATTTTCATACTGCAGGGAAAATGCCATTTCATTTTCTTTTGAAGGATACTAATATATCATCCGAAAGCATACAGCAGGCATATATAATGAGCATAAGGTCAAAAAACATTAAGAGGAAAATCCTCCCTGCCTTGGAGGCGGGGATTTGCTCCACAAAGCCTCCTGTCACACCAGTGGCCAACTAGACAAGTTGGAGATTCTGGGTTGTTTTTTTTTTCCTGTGACATGTGCTTTAGTTGCAGTGAAAAGGAAATGTGTCATCTGTGGTTTGGTTTGAAAAGTGGAAAGCTAGCTGTACATGTCCTTTTCTGCTCCAGATTTACTTTAACGTTCATATTTCTCCAAGTCTGTTCTACTTGGAAGCTGTGCTTAAAGACAAGAAAAGAAGTGGCTTATTAAAATAAGGTTATAATCAGATTTTGACCAACCATTTTGTAAGGTAGGTAATATATGTGGCTTTTCTTATGCCTTTTACTTATAACTTTGTACAGATTAGTGTTTGAGAAAGTGCTTCAAATAGTATCTAAGAATCTTACTAACAAAGTAGAATCATAAGTGATGGAAAATGTATGCTTTTTTTTCTGTCTTATTTGGTGAAATTTAAGTTAGAAATGGGAAAGATTTACTATCAACAGAGTTTTAAATTAGGGTTAAGAAGGATCTAAGTTTCAACTCTACAGCAAACTGGAAAGTTTGGTTATGAAAAAAAAGTTTAAAAAATAAATTTATTATTATTTAATGCTTAGGCATACATTTTATTGAAAATGATTATATACTGAAACAAAACAAAATTTGATAACATAACCTGGCCTCCATGGCATAAATTAGGGATGTAGAGACAGTCCTCTATTCTCAGGACTTTGTAAGGGTAGGAGAAAGTCTCATTTTGTTAACAGTTTGTTTATTTGGGGATGACAATACATCTGGCTGAAGACAATCAACAGCGGGCCTATTATCTATCCCATGGTAAGTACTGTTAAATGTGTACGAACACTATGATGCATACTACATTGTTAATGGACTAATGTGACAACAATAACCCACTTTAAATTATTTTAGCATCTATGCAGAAGGCCGGTCTAGCATAAAAGGATGGAAATTACTTACTAACCCAATTTAAAGTATTTCTCTTTGTGAAAGAATCATAAAGTAGGCAAAGATTTATGTCATTCAACTTAAAAATGAAAGCTGAACACGATTATGTAGAAGTCCATATATCATATCTTTCACTGTCTATTAAAGGTCATAATCCAAAAAGTAACCTTAATTCCTGAACACATAATAAAGGATTTTTCCTCCCTACTATTAGTAGGGGATATAATTTCAGAGGTTAATTTCCAGTTAGCATCATTTATTATATGCTACTTCTTATAAACCATTTCTTATAAAACCTTGAGACTCATAAAAACATGACTAGCAGTAGCATTTCTGTTGCTTGGGAAATGAAGAATTGCAGGTCCCTCCTAGACCTGAGGAATCCAAGCTGCATTAAAAAAGGAAAATAATCTAGTTCTTTCTTCTAGTTCCCTCAAATGAATGCTAACAATAAAACAGTCTTTTAAAAGTAGCTCCAACAAACTAGAATATTATTATAAAACAGAGAGCTCAATAGCGGTGCTAAATCTTCCTGGTTAACAGTCCCTGAACAGATGTGCCAGTGCTATTTAAATCTTCAATCCTATGGTGAACAGACTCGTCCCCTTCCTGTACTGGCTTCCAAGGAGCTCAGAGTCGAAGCTGAAATCCAGCTTTTTCCTTTATATGCTGAGATGCTCACCATCTGCCTTGACTTCCCACTTCAGTCTAAAACCCCATGATCCCAATGCTCTATTTCTTTCTATTTTATTGTATTTTAAAAAAATTATGGCAAAATATTCATAGAAAAAAATGCTAGGCATAAATGATATTTAAGAAGTCAATAACTTTTGTTGAACTTTTGAGATTACTGAGAAGAACTCTGCCTCTTTTTCTTTGTAATGACAGATTTTTATGGTTAAGAAAACTGGCATGTCTTTCACCTCTACTTTCAGAAAGCCAGTCAGTGAGGGGATATAGAGGAGAAAAGAGAGAACCACTACTATAAAATTGCTTTCACAAATACTGGGGACATATTTCTAACTACTAGCTTTATTCTAAGCTTCAAGATAAATACTCAAGAAGGGAAAAAAGATCACCCTGAATTCCTATTTGAAGTCCATTTTCTTTTGGTTGCTACCACACTTCCCCTTTCCTGACCAGACCAAAAAAAAAAAGCTACTTGCATTTTATTTTTATACATGAAAAAAAATGCTCAAGGCCACATTTCTCCTTTACTATAAAGACTGATGACACATTTGTTAGAAGGTGGGGAGTTTCTGCAAAAAAGGATCCCTAAATGGGGGTAGGGAAGAATCAAAAGAGTAAAGCAGAAGTATTGACTCAAAGCTGAAGTCTACATAAAACCATGGCATTCATTTAAACGAATAACAGAAATTAAATTGTCTCTTTAGATGCAGCCTAATAGGAAAAAAATCGGTTGAGAAGGAATTCAAATGGGATGGCAAAAGTTAGGCATGAGCTTGCAGCTTACTTGTAACATATCAGCTGTCTATCTTTTAACTAAAATTACCAAACCAAGAAATCATTATTCTTTCACAAATTCTCAAACTGTATTTCTGTCCCAACAGATTACCCGCATACTCATGGACATGAAACACACAGGACGTTACCTGCACCTTGCCTTTCTGATGACAACAGTTTTCCCTTTGTCTCCTGGGAAAAAAGCAAACTCTACCCAACTGTGGGCTAGCAATACTACTGTCTGGGATCCAGATATTCACAATAAGACAGGTAGAAACCAAAATGAAAACAGTAACACAAATTCTGTAACTCCTAAAGTAGATAAAAAAAGTAATTCTACAAACATGCCTGAAATAGCAACATCATCTCATGTGGTATCTTTCACTCCTACATCTGAACTGGAGCTTTATACACCTTCTGTTGCGAGGAACAGTTCCCCAACATCACAGAGCACCAAAAATACAAGCAAAGGTCACAGTGAAATTTTCAAAAAAGATGTCTGTGAGGAAAACAACAACAAAATGGCTATGCTAGTTTGCTTAATTATAATTGCAGTGCTTTTTCTTATCTGTACCCTTCTACTTCTATCAACGGTGATTCTGGCAAACAAGGTCTCATCTCTCAGACGATCAAAACAAGCAGGCAAGCGTCAGCCTAGAAGCAATGGCGATTTTCTGGCAAGCAGTGGTCTATGGCCTGCTGAATCAGACACTTGGAAAAGAGCAAAACAGCTCACAGGGCCCAACCTAATGATGCAATCTGCTGGAGTGCTCACAGCTACAAGGGAAAAAAAAGATGAAGAAGGAACTGAAAAACTCACTAACAGATGCTTTAGTGAAGATAAATGCAAAGCAGCAATGGGAAACTTTAAGAAGTAAAAACGAAGTCAGTTTGATATTTAATGCCAATATGTTGTTCTGATGGTCTAAAATTTGACATTGCAGGCCTTGCAATTTAGAATAAAGCAGGGGAGAAGGGGAGAAGTATGCCTGCTTACTTATTGTGCACTTCTGTTTTGACACTGAATTTTTAAAAAGCAAATAATAAAACCACCAAACACTTAGGGAAGTTTTTAAAGACAAGTTGAAAGAACTAACAGAGGTATAAATGGACAATTAAATATTTCTTGTTCAGCAACAGCAGCTAGATGATCTTTGTCTGAATATAAGTAAACTTTGAAGAGTTTTAGTGTGTCCTTAGAGGCAAGTATATGCTTCAACATCTAACAGAAGTCAAATCCCTAACGCATCAAGTTGAAATGGTGCCTTGTTTGCGGAATGTGACAAAATCCACACCAGCTCTTAATCAACACAGCTAATTTTATGCTAGATGTTTTCAACTTTACACATGACACACATGAGAAAGTTTTTCTACTATAAATATTTAATTAAAACTTTTAATTTTGTATAATAAATTAAGACTTGTTAGAATAAAACTATGTATATTTGCATTCACTTTATTATCTGAGAGAACACATATAAAGTCAATAAGAAATAAAGCACAGCCCGGCCGGGCGTGGCTCAGCAGTTGAGTGTCGATCTGGGATCCAGGCAATCGGGGTTCGATTCCCGGTCAGGGCACATGCCCGGGTTGTGGGCTTGATTAATGACTCTCTCATCATTGATGTTTCTATCTCTCTCTCTCTCCCTCTCCTGCCCTCTCTCTGAAATCAATAAAGATATATTAAAAAAAAAAAAAGAAATAAAGCACAACTGTAACACATGAGATTATAGCCACAACAGAAGACTACATGTAAATGTAAAGCATATCTTACTGTTTAAGTGCAACATAACCTTTATTCTATAAATGTTGCTTTTTGGATTATTTATAGCAAATATCCAAAAGCTGATTAATTTTTGAACTTCAAAGATGACAAGTGGCCTAATAAGTGACCAATTTCATTTTTTTACTATCAATGGGATAGGAGCAAAGGAAAGGTGTGTGTGTGTGTGTGTGTGTGTGTGTGTGTTCTAATTTGGAAAACAGGATACTTCAGGTAAATATTGAACCTTTTAACAAACTGGATTCAAGTAAAATAATGACTTACATTTAAGTCAAGACTTCCATCTTCAATGAAATATATTACAAAAATTGGTTTGAGAGACTTTTCAACTATTTACTGAAATCGACACAGGGCATCCTAATTAAACCCCAGGCCACGTTTTAAAAAATCACACTCCTTATTGCACACTTATTTTGGGTAGTACGCTAGCCATTTAAGAAAATATTTCATATATTTTTTCCAACTATGAGCACAATCTTACTCTCTCTTCTAGGTTAATGATTCTCATCCTAGTTGTGTACCAGAATCACTTGAAAAGTTTTTAACACTCGCCAATGCCTTATTCCCACCCTCTCCTTCTGATTAAATTGGAATGGGGTGAACTCCAGGTATTGGTAATTTCTGTATAACTCCCTAGGTGATACTGCTCTTGGTCAAATTTACTTCTTACAAGTTCCATGGCGCCAAAGATCTACGTTACATCTTAAAATGAGACGGGGAAAAAATAGAGCATCAATTTTATTATCAATTTATTACCATTTGTCAAAAATATTCATTCCCTAAACAATAAATCATAACTGTATTATTCCAGATGAATCTAAATGTCAATGAGTCCAAAGGAAAGCAAGAGAAAAATACTCATGCCAAACATGGTGACAGGGAGGAGGCTATCTTTTGAGGGGTAAAAGGGACCAGACTGGAAATCAAACTGGGCAGAGCTCATGTTTTGTACAAATTAAAAATTTGAGATTGTGTACTGGAATACATAGTAATAACACAAAGCACTCCTCAAATCAAGTATCATATAAATACTTGGAGGAAATAAAAATAATTTAGTATATTTTTAAAAATAAGAAATTAACTAGGCAATTACTTTCATATTCAACATACAGGTCAAACATTTTCTCACAACATGAGAAAGCTTCTTCTGCAGGAATACTTAAGATTCATTACTCACTATCTTGGTTATTAAACTTGCACCCTCAAAATGATACCATCCAATGACAGCTCATGAACAAACAGAAGTAGTTCCTTTCCAAACGTGGCAATGTTTAAAAATGACAGGTTAAGATATGTTTTGAATTCAAATTTTAAAAATTATTTTTGAACAAAGATACTTCTGTTCTCTAGCTCTGGGTATTATGATCCACTCGATTAATTTAGGGATTTTAAAACAGTGAATCAAAAGTCTATAGGATTTTTATTTTATTTTTTTAAAAATCTTTATTGATTTCAGAGAGAGGAAGGGAGAGGGAAAGATAGAAACATCAATGATCAGAGTCATTGATCGGCTGCCTCCTGCACACCCCTACTGGGGGTTGAGCCCCCAACCCGGGCACGTGCCCTGACCGGGAATTGAACCGCAATCTCCTAGATCCTAGGTCGATGCTCAACTGCTGAGCCACTCCTAGCCGGGCAAGTCTATGGGATTTTGATTATATTCTGCTTTATGTAGGACCCCTCAAAAAAAATTTTTTTTTAAGAAGTAATAAGTCCCTTGCAGTTAAGAACTGGGTCTTAATAATCTGTGTTCCTCTGCAGTGACCAGGGGAAAGCAGGGCAGGGTTTAATACTGTTTGTTTCTACTGTAACACGTGCTATGCTAGGCACTTTAAGTTTATTTAATCCCATAATAAATGTGTAAACTAGAAATTATGATCTCCATTTTTCAGATGAGGAAAGAGGCTAGAAGGTGACCTGGCCAAAGAAAATTTTAATCAGACTGACTCATAGTCTTTTCAATATACTTTACTCAGTTAACTTATTTAAAAAATGATTCTGAATTTATTTTTCCACAGAGAAGCACCTACTTGGTGGATAATCAAAGGGTTGTGGACCTGAACTAAAAAATAACTTAGCAAAGTATTTGGTCAAAAAAATTTAATTATACTTTTACCTGGGCTTTGCTTAAATTATGTATGAGCAAATAGCATTAACATTTACTGCTACCTACTGTGTATGAGCCATTTGTACATGTTATGTTATCTTATTTAATCCTCATAACAGCTCAGTAAGAAATATTCCTGCAGGGGAGGAAGTGGTGATTCAGAAGTGCAGCCCTTTGCCTAAATTCATACAAGTAAACAGAACTCGTCATTCACTTCCTACAAAAGAAATCTCACTGTGGGTGATAACCCAACTGGCAGGACTCCCTTAGAACACACAGTGTGCTCTCTGAGGCTCTATTCTAAACATTTAAATTATAGAATCATTACTAGAGAGCCTCATGTGTTTACTCACAAACATTAATTAAAAGCGCTCAAATCATATAGCTCCAAATTGGGTTTCAAAATAAGTTGTTAAAGTAGTACATTTCTTAGTCATCTTGTGGCTTATTGCGCTTCCTGAACCAACTATTGATAAACTTCCTCCTTTTCTACAGAAACCATTTCAGTTTGCTAGAGGACATTTTAAATCTAAATTGAACCATCCCTTTTGCTTTCTTAGCCAAATCACCAAAATGTCCAGTTAGAACAAGAATTTAGCATCCTGCAAAAGAAGTTAACAGCTGAGGTAAGAAAAATTTCACATAGGCAATTTGGTTTGATCTTTGTTTTATTCAAAACTTATTTTTAAAACTAAAATGTCAGTCCTGGGGCAGGGGGGTGGGTACAGGGTATAAAGGGTCAATGGGGAAAAAAGGGGGACATCTGTTAATACTTTCAACAATAAAGATATATTTTTTAAAAATAAAGACGAAAAATAATTTTTAAAACGACAGTAGTGTTTAAAATGTAAACTCTGAAAGTCTAAAGATGTCCATAACAGGTTTTGTGATTTTGTTGCATGGAATTAAAAAATATTGACTGTTGAGCTTGCCTTGGAGAAAAAAATTTCACCTAGGTCTGTATAATATAAAATTTCTCCTAGGTTTGCTAATCTTAGTTCCATAATTAAAAAAATAAACTATAGCCATGGCAGATAAAGCCAAGGGCTAGAAATAAAACTAAAATCCAGAGGATATGACTGGATTTACAACCCCAAAATACTACTTTTAGATTGTGATTCGCTTTCTATAAACACTTCCTGTACATAATGTAATCCATAGATTTTAATTATTTTTATTTTTTAATCCCCTTTAGTTTCCACAGTAAATGGTAGATATTATTATTGATAAAAGATGGTGATCAAATACTTCCTATCATAGTGCAAGGTTAATTTCCCTTTCTGTTCTTCCTCAAGATAATAGAATTGCTGTCTTAGTCCTTTTATGGTTGTATAACTTCACTAGTTGTAGATACAGTACGACTAAATTTTAATCTATTGTATCTATATTGTTACATATCAAAATAACTAACACTCAGATACTATTTTTGATACTGCTCACCTACACTTGCCTTTTTGTCTAGGATATGCTCTCCAAATCTCCCTGATTTCCTTGAAAAGACAATGACATATTTCTTATCATGTCCAACTTAATAGCATTAATTTTAAATGCTGGACCCTTTATGTAATTATGCATTATATGTATGAGTATATGTCTAATATATGGGGACTCCAGCTTTACTGTAACTGCACTTTAAAATGCTCAGTTAAAACAGCTTATATATTTTTTCTTCTTTTAAAAAAAATTTAAATTTTCAGGAAAAGCAAAGGACCAAAATCACAGATTTAAACCTCAAAGAGCCAACCTAAAATAATGGCCAAATTACTACCATATGAAAATAGACATATTTGGAATTTGCCTGAGCAGCACACTAGAAAAATGCTATAGAGAATGTGCATAGGTTCTTTTTCTTTTAAATTTTAAATATGTCTTTATTGATTTCAGAGAGAGGAAGGGCAAGGGAAAGAGAGACAGAAACACCAATGATGAGAGAGTCATTGATCGGCTGCCTCCTGTATGCCCCCTACTGGGGATCGAGCCTGCAACCCGGGCATGTGCCCTGACCGGGAATCGAACCTCGATCTCCTGGATCATACATAGGTCGATGCTCTACCACTGAGCCACGTTGGCTGGGCCATAGGTTCTTTGGCGTAATTAGGTATGATTCTGGGTGGGGCAGGGGAGGAATCTTAAGGATATTTAGGGTGCACGACAGATTCTCTGCTGGCTCCCTGCACCACAAATACAGGACAGTGACAGCGAGCCGCATTTTGTGTTTGCTTCTTTCATCTATAGTCTTTCCCCCAACTTCTCATTTTGCCCACTTTAATACCTTCTACCTTCTATTCCTGCAGAAACAATGTGGTACTTTAGGTACACATGGTTTATATATATTTAAAATATATGTTAAATAGCTTTCTGCATTGGTAATAACACTGGCCTCACTGTCTCTGAGCTAGTCAGTTTCTTCCCTATTATACCCACTATTTATTCTTTTTAAAAATCCTGCTCCCTCTTTTCTGGACTATTCTGAATTGCTATAGAATTCTATCACAGATTCAAGCTTCCAGATGCAGCAGGCCCTGGGAGGGTAGACAACTGATTGAATCGTGGGAAAAGAGGTAGCATAGGTAAAAAATAGAATTTGCTTTTAATATAGTTGTAAAGCTTAAATGTTAAGTGAAAAATACCATATACTGAAGGTCCTATGACCTTCCATTGACAAAAGAGGTCATGAACCTATCAAAATTGATCTCACAAACTAAACTGGGTTTATAATTATGTTCCCTGTTTGGGCTCTTTTCCTTCCCTGATACCCCCCCTTTTTTTTCTTCTTTTTTTTTTAAGCTAACTGAAAAGAGGAACCAGGTGGGGTTCTTTTGGGTTTTTTAAATTTAAACCAAGTCACAAAAGAGAAAACGTTTTTGGCTAAAGACAATTCCTGGCCTGTATTTCTGTTGCTTCAAATGGCATTTTTTAAAACTAAAGGGAAACTTTGAAGAATAGCACTTGTTGATGAGGCCTATTCTTGGCAGGTGGGATGGAAATCTGTAAAAACAACAGGTAGAAACTGCATAAAGGATAATCCTCTAGAGGTGATTCAAATCCCCATATTTATGCCAAAAGTTTCTAATTTTTTGACTATTAAACCTTTTGTTAAATGGATAAAATGCAGAATTTAATAACTTGGATCTCACTTTCTCTTACATTCTGGTAGTAGTATTAATAAATGGTGAAAAAGTAAAATGGAAGGAAACTGGGCTCCTAACATACATGGCACCCTGTTGTAAAAGAATCAATACATAAAAACATAATTCAGTTTAGGGTAGCAGAAAGAGAGTGTGCTTTGAAATCAGATGATCTTGGGTACAAATTGCCGGTCTGCCACCAATAATGATATAACATTGGACAAACTGCTCAACACATTTGAATTTATCTCTTTATCTGTAAATCAAGGATTCTTCCATCTTCCACAGTCACTTAAAAGTTAAATGAAATAAAGTATGTAAAACACCTGAGATATCTGGAGCACACTGTGTGCTGTACTAAGTATTTTGCTGTTTCTTTCTGCCTTCCTCAGAGTTCTTTAATCTTGTTTGAGGGAGTGAGGAGAATAAAAAGGAAACGTGAGAAGTTAGGTAATAAAAAATAAATGCAATTATTTAAGAAATTAGAATGTAAGTGAAGTTCATACATGAAGTATTATTTAAGGAACCATAAAGACAACAGGAACTAGGGGGATTCAGGGAATGACTAATTCTCTGGGCTGTGGTCAGGCACAGAGAACTTGGTTTCAGAGGGGAATTTAAGCTGAGGTCTGGAAGGTGAGGACAGGTTCAGTTATGAAGTCAGAAGGGGGTAAGGTTGGGTTTGAAAAAAGCAACACCGTAAGCAGGTGAAAAACAGCATAATTACAAGTGTCTGTTTAGGAAACAAGGTAGGATGGGGAAGAGGTGCATTTGGCTGAATGAGACATTTCGGTTAAGAGATATGAGTTACTACTGGTAAGAAGGAAGAAAACTTGGTGCAGAATTTTTATGTTGACAGCAATGGGGAACTCTCAAGCAAGGGAGACGTAACCTCATCATACTTGCTTTTAAGAAGATTAATTCATCAGCAGTGTGCAGAAGAGTTTAAAGAAGAAATATTTTAAAACTTAGGCTTGAAGTATTAGAGAGAAAATAAAGAGGCTGTACAGGAAAAAAAATCATGTTTTTCCCCCCTATGAAAATAGGGTAATTTGTAATCATTGTGTACCAAGTAGTAGAGGAGTAAGCAACGAAAACTACTCAAATACACTGAAACCTATTCGTTGGCAAAAGTTGAGGGAGTTCCTCTTCAACTTTTATTGTACCTTGTACAGAAAATCAAATCCCTCTCAGACTGGCCTACGAATCATAGAAAAAACCGTAGTTTCTAGTCATATACACTGGGATCTAGCACACCAAGATTTTTCTTTTCCTGAGGTTAAAAAATAACTGAACAGTTACCACTGTGTTTAATGATGTGCGAAACAGGATATTATACACAGAGCTGAAAACTGTCTTAGTATAATTCCTCACTTTAGAGCTAAGGCAATTGAGAACAGGAGAGATTAACTGACTAGTTCTCCTGGTTAGATAGGAAGTTATGTGACAGAAGTGGAACTAAACCAACTCTTCAAATTTGAGCATTTACCACATCTCACAAAAAGCCCTAGCTGCCAAACTTATAAACACCTTCTTTTTCCATGTCTGTATGTTGTTGCCTTGGCTGGAATATTTTATTTGCTTAATTACAGACTTTTCAAGATTCAGTTCAAGTTTTACTTCTCTGAGAAATTTTCCCTAAAAGCCCTCCCAGGCTAGATTGGTTCCTCTGTGTATCTCCTGCATATCTTTATGAGAAAATTCATCAAATTATTAAAATTATTTATTACTTGTTTCTACAACTAGAATCTTTTTTTCTCTCCCCCTATCTTCTAAACCTAGAACAGGGCCTGATACAAAGATGATGTTTATCAATAAATGAATGAAAGCAGCAGCACGACTACTTGACCAATTGGGTAAGACCATCCAGATTCAAAGCTCACTTTAGGATTTTGAGCTGTGGACTCTGAGTTGAACTGAACCCTTTAGAAATATGAGGTCCTAACATAAAGATATAGTCTTAAACACTGATGATGCTGCAAAGGTTACTCATACGACAGACTCTGTGCATAAGAAATATACACAGGAAGTACCGCTAAAAATAGAGAAGTTGGGAGAGGAGTCAGTTTTCAGATGAGGAAGAATTGTCTTAAATACTGAATTTGCTGATAGTGGGATGTATACATGGAACTGTCCACCAAGAAGTCACACAAATGGAACTAGAATTAAGGAGATTTGGGCTGGGTGTACAGGTTTGGGAGCTTTGGCATAAAGGAGAGTGTGGAAATCTTACTACAGATTCAGAATTAAAGGGAAGTAGATAACATGACTGAATATCAAGTCCCAACATTTAGGAGGCAAGAGGAAAAAAGGAGTGAGGGAGATTAGCATGAAAGGGAGACTATTACAAAGAGCTCTTTGAATAGCAGTGAAGGAATAGTCACTAGTGTCAAATACGGTCAAGAGAGGAGAAAGGAGAGAGAGAAAGAAAAGATCTTTGGAGGAAATGATAGGTGGTTTCTGGTGTCCTTCAAGGCAGCAGGATCAATATATTTCAAATCGCACAAAGAGAAAAAATACAATACAAAGTACATGGAACCGGCATGTAGAGCCTATGTGTTTGAGAAATATGACTGCGAAATGAAGAACTGTTATGTAATAAAGTTGGAGGGGCAGCAAGGCCAAGTACAGATCTTATGAAAGAATTAAGAGAAAACAGTGCTTATAAGGTCCAAATGTTGTATGATAAGTTAGAGTATATTCAAGAGTTGTTTACACTAGCCTTTAGTGTATCAAGTCTAAATTAGGAATAATAAACACTCATCAGGTACCTATCTACTTTATGCCAGGCATCAAATGAGACCTAATCGTCTTTCTTTTTTCTTTTTTCCCCCCATTATAAAACCAATGGTAGAAAGGAAACATTGTGAAATGGATCCCAAATATTTCATCTTAATTTTGTTCTGTGGACACCTGAACAATACATTTTTCTCAGTGACAAAAGCAATTGCAATAGAGAAGCAAACACAGCCTACTTTATTTAAATCTGCAATGCCATATGTCTCGGCGAATTCTCAAAACACAGTGAATTCTCTGAGTCAACCAACACAACTCAAGAATGTTTCTTCTGGACAACCAATACCAACTGCCAAAGTTGCTGCTGGACAACCAACAACAGTTGCCCATGCCTCCTCTGGAAACCCAACAGCATATACTTCTGCTGGACAACCACTTGCCTATAACATCACCAGACAACTAACACCAACGGCCAACACCTCCTCCCAACAAACAGTACATCCTGTGTTCACCTCTGGGAGACAACTACATACATCTGCCCACGCTTCTACCAGACAACCGCCACGATTTGTCTATAGATCCACTCAACAACCATCAACTGTCCACACCTCTTCTAAAAAATCAGTACCACCGACTATTCAAAATCTGTCCATACAACCAACACCAGCTGTCAAAAGTTTACCTAGGATTACACCAGGATTCGTCCCAGAAGATGTCAGTAACACACAAAGCCCGCATAAAAGCAATTCTAATTCAATAGCTGCCATATTAGTTGGTATAATTCTGATTTCTATGTTGATAGCTATAATCATGATTGTACTATGTAAGTGCTTGAGAAAACCAGTTTCAAATGATCAAAATTGGGCAGGCAGGTCTCCATTTGCTGATGGTGAAACTCCTGATATATGTTTGGATAACATCAGAGAAAATGAAATATCCACAAAACGTACATCAATTATTTCACTTATGGCCTGGAAACCAGGCAAAAGCACACCTTTAGCAGATGATTTAGAAATTAAGTTGTTTGAATCAAGCGAAAACATTGACGATTCCAACCCCAAAACAGAGAAAATAAAAGATCAAGGAAATGGTACATCTGAGGATAGTGCTGATGGATCAACAATTGGCACTGCTGTTTCTTCTTCAGATGATGCAGATCTGCCTCCACCTCCTCCTCCCCTTCTTGATTTGGAAGGACAGGAGAGTAACCAATCTGACAAACCCACAATGACAACTGAGTCTCCTCTTCCAAATGATTCCACCAGTCTCCCACCATCTACAGACTGTCTCAATCAAGTCTGTGAAGATCATAATTCTGAGAACAAAGAGTCACTTCCACCTCCCCTTGACTCACCTAACTTGACACTGCCACAAGGAGATTTGATGAAAATCCTGCAAGATTCCACCAATGAGATCCAATGTCAGGAGTTCTCTATTCTTCCTAACTCTGATCAAGATGTCAATGAATCCCTGCCACCCCCACCTGAAGAACTGTTATAAATATTACAGCTTGTGTTTTAGCTGATTTTCCATGCTTTTCAAAGCACTCTCTATCTTTTGTTTTTCTTCATGTAATGAAATATATTAAATGGCAACTCGTAACTAATTTTTACCTTTATCCAGGAACTACCTGAAATCTGCTCAAAGTCCATGTGCAAGGTTCCTTATTTTTAAAATATATGTAACAGTGCTCTATTTACTGGCTATAGCATCTAATTTTAATGTAGAGTATATTTTACATATGTGGATGGTATATATGTGTCAATAACTTAACCATTTTGGAAAGAAACAACCTATGTATACTTAGTGTCACCCAATAGATTTTTTTTTCTCCTGAAAAGCTGTGTATCAAGTTACCTTGAATAAATAAAATTTTATTTTTCCAATTCAGAGTTTGAAGTGGAGGGAATGAAAAATTAAATATATACTCCAAGTTTTAAACAAAACTCTACATTTTAAATTAATACCTACAGTATTAAAATAAATATTCTAAGTTCATGGGGATGAGTGATTAAAATGCATGTTTGAAAATGGAGAAATTTCCTTTTAGCTCTCATTGGAAGTAGTAAAGCAAACATACTAAAATATCAAATTTGGAGGTGGGGGACAGTTACTCTGAAAAAAATATGAGCATGCACCATAAAACGCAGACATTTTCCTGTCTTATTGGGGGAGCACAAATTTGGAAACAGCCTCTTTATATACCTTAAGAACCCAAACAAAACAAAATCTTACAAAGAAAAAAACCATCACAAAAACACCTATGGCTTCATTTCAAACTTGGATGACTTTCCCAAGAAAAACAGATTGTATTGAAATTCAAATGGTTCTCAACTTTCATTAAGTTCATACTTTACATTTAAGCACTATACATTTAAACTCTGTAACCACGTTTCTTATGCAGAATTTCTTCTTTTATCCATTACTTTGACAAGTGATAAATCTGAGTTATCAGAGTAGGGATGAGCCCAATCTTTGTCAAGGTCAATGGGGAGAGTGTTCACTGGCCTGCACCTGTGGAGATGTCAGCCTGTGCCTGCAGACACGCTCCTTTGCCCAACAAGCACATATTCTTTCTCCTTACCCTCACCCTAACTCCTGGGGGAAACAGTCACTTAGAATGAAGTGTGGTGGCCTTATTGGTAGCTTAATGTTAGAAACTCTCATAGTTCTGGGACTTTTCTGAACAAAATATAGTATTTATTGTAGCATGGTGTTAAAAAAACCAAGTTCCATCTTTAATAAAAACTAGCAGGCTTTTGTACACTGAAATTTTACATATGATGTTTCTCTTTAAATCTTTTAAGCCATCCCGTACTGATCATTAAAACTTTTTATCTGCAGAAACACTTCCTTGAGTTGTTTATTTTTCCTGAATAAGCATGTTGTTTATTGTCATACTACACTTGTTCTCCTCTGTCTTTCGCATTAAGTTTCTTTCATGTGTTTTTCAAACTTTGAACTTTTAGGGTTAATTTAGCCAGCAGCAATCAGAAGTTTAAGAATTTCCCATTATTCTTTTGAACTTTAAGAATTCTACTTATGGTAAATAAAACATGTTTTTATATTGGTTGACTTTAACTTGCCTTAAATCATCATAATCTTTCTAATTTTATATATGAGACTGTTACCTAACAGGCTCTTTCCACACTTTTGCTCTTCCTTTTCATCACCTTCCTTCCTGACCCTGTGAAGGATGGGTATTGGGAAATATAAGGAAATACCAAGTCTCATAAATAAAATAAAAACTGATGATCTGGTCATAGTGTTGTCTGATTTCTTCAAACACTAAGGGCAGCTTTTCTCCTCCTGTTCTTTGTACAATAAAACAGACTACTGTTAGCAGCTGGTTTTTGTTTTGCTGTTTTTTAAGAAATTCTCTGCCAGGGGGGAAAATAATTCCCATTTACTGCATGCAATTTTTCCCTACTGAGGTCAGTGGAAGCTGAGCAGCCAAAGAGTGGCAATTCTTGCTTAATCAGCAGAAAGAAATGCAAGCTAATAAAAGAAATAAAAGAGAGAAGAAAATGTTGGAACAAAGAAAAACGTACAGAAAAGGTTAAAGGACTAGGATCCAGAAGAGAAGGCTTATTTCATGAATATGGCAAAATGGCAAGGCACAGGGTAATTAAAAGCAGACTGAACTACATACCATATACCAGTGGTGCTCTTTCTTACCAGATCAGCATTAACTAGATTCAGAAACAACCCTGATGATCATCTAGTTCAACTCCTTTTATTTAACTGATCAGAAAACAGGCCCAGAGAGTAAGTGACTTGCTCAGACGTGGTATAAAAGCTGAGTGTGTTCCCTGACTCCTTGTTCAGCACTCTTTTCACTAATATAAAACCAAAGAGTGCCTACTTCATGCACTGAACAAACATATATTAAACATGTATTCTATTTGGTGTTGGTGGTGGGGATACAATTAATTAGATAAGGGTGACCTGTAATTATTGTTATTACCTAGTTCTGATCAAAAAGTAAAGTAGGAAAATATTTGGGCACCTACAATTAAAACACTGTGGTACTGGTGTATGACTGGACAAACAGATCAATGGAACAGATGGAAAGCCCAAAAACAGACTCCGATCTCAAATCAGTGGGGACAATTGAATATATATTTTGGGAAAAATAAAACTGGATCTATACATCATACTACATTGCAATAAACACCAAATAAACCAGCAATCTAAACAGAAAAAATGAAATTACATAAGTAATAGGTGAAAATGTGAGTAAATCCCTTTATAACCTGGACGTGAGAAAAACATTCCTAGCTGAAACTCAAAATTCAGAAGCAATAAAAAGAAAAGAAAAATTCAATCATATAAAACTTTTAAGTGGCAAAAACAAACATACAAAAAGTCACCATAATAAAGTCAAAAGGCAAATGGCAAGCTGAAAAAAGATCACAACTTAAGTCAAAGGGCTACTACTATCTCTAAAGTTAAAAACAGAACAAAACAAAAAACTCCTAAATACAGAAAGGGCTGGGAAAGACTCACAACACAATAAAAAAATGTGCAAAACATATAAAAGACAGTCACAGAAGAAAAATGTAAATAGTCCTTAAAAAATATATAAAGATATATAACCTTCCTCATACTGAGAGAGATGAATTTAAAATTACACTGAGATACTATTGCCTTTATTGACATAAATCCAAAGTTCCACAACAAAGTCCATGGCAAGGCTCTATAGAACTAGACACCCTGATACATTGCTGGTGGGACTGCAAAATGGTATAGTCTATACAGAGAAATTCGTAATAACCAGAAAAATTCTAAATGCATTTACCTTTTCACACAGCAATCCCATTTCTAGAATCTTTTTCAAAGGTTCACTGGGAAAAATATGAAATTACTTAGGTGCAAGGGTATTCACTGCAGCATTATTTATAACAGCAAAAGTCTGGAAACAACCCACATACCCATCAATAAGGGCTTGGTTGAATAAACCATGGCTTACTCCCAAAGGCAGTGCCATGCTTCATAAAACGAATGAGAAGGATACCTACATACTGAAGTGGAGTGATCCTCCAGATATATTACTAAAAAAATAAATAAAAGCAAGATGTGTAACAATGTATTTAGTATGCAACCTTTTATATCAGGGGATAAGAACATATAATACATACATATTTTTGTATGTTTACAAAAAGAAATACTGATAAGAAACAACCAAAAATGGTCACCAAGAGGAGGAAGAGATAGGGATGGGACACAGAAGCAAGTTCTCTCTGAATATACCTTGTTGTATAGCTTTGACTTAAGCCATTCCTAAAAACTGATAACTAACTGAAACAAATGAACCTAACTTTACATAAAGTTGATGATATAAAAATGTAGAGAAAACAATTATTTCATGTTGCATTAGAACACAGAATTGACTGTACATCCTTGGTGAAATATTCTAAGAACAAACAGAGCTGCCAAGAAATCTTAAACTTTATTCAGTAGTTTGTAATCTAATTGTCTGCAGCAATACTGGTATTATTTTGAAACTATTACAGGATGATACAAATAAACAATTATGTTAATGCTGTTAGGGGCCATTTATAGGAAATATGGGGGATAGAGAAACAAATTAAATCTTCACAAGGAAGCAAACAGATAAATCCAGATGAGGGATGTTCTAGAGAACAAATCAACGAGTTTTGGCAACATGGAGAGAAAAGGGGTGAGGAGGTAGGAGAAGGGACTTGAATTTTCATCTGGTAATTTCTATATTGTCAGTTCTTCCATGCTTTTAAAATACTTTATTCAGCACTCTTGGCTGTTTTTAGCAGAAAATTCAGTCTGAAGAGCCAACTATATTACCAAAAGTAGAGAATATAATACTTTTAGTCTCAAATAAGCACAAGAAATGTTAGCAACTTAAGAAATAAAGATAAATTGACTGAGTTTCCAAACTGTTGATTAACATAGGATAGTTGTTTCCTGGCAGGTAATTTATTATACCTTGCACAATGCTGGGGTAGTATATCCCAGGACAGTGTGTTTCACAAAAGAATATGTAAATGAATTTACTACTTAGTCTAGAATATAATAGTTGCCTAAACAGCTGTAATTCTGGACTTGACAGACTTATCTAAAATGTAATGTGTCTTAATAATATCTAAAATAAGTTGTAACAAACAGTTAAATCAATAAAAATTATTTCTGGAGTAATAGTAATATGCTATTATTTTATTTCATGAGAATTTCTAAAAGCATAAGATAAGGACAGTTTGTTACAATTCAAATATATTAAAATGTTCCCTCTTTTTCTTTTTGAGAATTTTACAATAATCTTTGAATAAGAAGCACCAATGTGGTATGTCCCCAAACTCAGAAATGAAAAACGCTGACACTACTATTGGAATTATATTATTATATGTAGTGGAGTCTAACCTTGATACAGCCTAAACCCAAATTCATTTGAATCCATTAGTTAATGAAATAACATGTTCTTTCTTTCGAACAAAAGTACTGGTAAGTATAATGGAACTGGATAATTCTACTTTCACATGAGACTTCCTAAAATTAAAAGGAGAGACTTAAGTGTTTGGTAAATTGACTCTCAGTCACATCCCTTGAAGTATAACAGCGGATAAGAGCTGAAACAGAAGAAATCTAAATGTCAAAACATCCTCTATTTCTACAATATTGCTGAATGGAGTATTTTTAATACATTACTTTTAAGCCCTAAGATTGATGACTGGTTTCTGAAATCCATAGAAAGAATCTTATTAAGAGTCCAAGGCTGAACCCTCCAAGTGAAATGGGAATAAAGTATCTAATCAATAATAAACTTCTAACACTGCAGACTTTGAAAATGTAGATACTTTTCGAGGAACATTAATTTTATACAAAAGGTGACTCCTAGATTATGGTTTGCTTTCTAAGAAAATAAACTTCAAATTTTAATACTAAATTTAAGTTCTAATTGGGGTAAAATAATGGCAAATATAATTTAGAGAAAAACAGAGGATTTAGTAACTAGGCATAAAGAGATTTTCCTTAAATGCAATATGTTAATAATTGCTGGTTTTTAAATGGTATCAATTTGTAATGAACATGCCATTAACTTTATTTGCTTTCTCTTCTAAGGTAAACTGACTACTCTGGAAATTAGACAAGTTTTAAGAAATTATGTACAATCAGTCTACTGAAGAGTGGAGCATAAACTATCATAAATCTGGTCTCATTTTATTAAACTCATGGCCAAAGCTTTCCCTTTTACATTATTTCACATGATTTTAAAAGTATAAATGGCTCTCTCAGAAGATAAGATGTAAAACAGTCTGAAGAAATCACCTGAAATTGATGCCATTGTTTATAAAACATAAAATCAAATCAATGGCCATTCATACAGTATCAAAGATGCCTCTGGAGAAAACAATACTCATAATCACTCATCAAACAAAGTTTCATAAAGAAAAAGAATCTTTAACCCAAAGGTCATAAAATAAGACACATTTATTTTACCACATGAACTGATATAAAAGCATAAGATGCTCATTTAAAAATGCATCTTTGCTTGTGTGTAGCCTGGGAAAATGATCCGTTCGTTATATCAGAAAGACAAAGACAAAATAATATTTAAGTACTTCTTACTTCCCCAAAAGAGAGATGAACACTTAAGTGGCTGATAAATTTAAAAGCAATTATACATAATAAGCATCATGTTGGGGGAGTACATAAAAATTAAATAGATTGTATTATGTTATTTTAAAAGTGACACGACAACATAAAACAGCAGGAGTTAAAAATAGTTAAAACTAATATTGTAGAAAACCATCTGCAGGGAAGATCAAATTCATTTTCAACATTTTTCAACATGTAAAAAGAATGAAGAGTAGAGGCATTAAAAAGAACCACAAATTCTTCACAAGGGAAATGTTAAAATGTGGAACCTGAGCTCAGACAAACACTCAGAAATGAGTGAGGGCTAGGTCTAACATGCATGAGGCATTCCATCCTATAGCAAATCTGAACTATATAGGTATGCTTAATGCTATAAATTTAGAAAAAAATATTTTTTTGGTCCATTTTGTTGCGTGTGCACCTCTTGCAATAAATTTGAGTCAGCACCAATGACAGCTCTGCAGTCCTCCTATGTGGTGCTGATCAGGTGGTTGCAGAGCTTCAGCTCACAGCAACACAATGCAGCTGAGCAGGCAAGCACAGCCCTCAGCCAGAAGCGGTTCTGATTCTCCAGAACAAGGCGACCTTTAAGCTTAAGTTTCCCGGAGAAAATGAGATGCTGATGCTGAAGACGACACTATGGTAAGATGTTATTTAAATCAGTAAAAGATCAACCTCGAAATTTTTTTTCTTTTTCTTTAAGAAAAAGTCAGTGTTAGGATTGAATATATATTCAATAGCAAGTGCATGCACCAGAAATTTGCTGCAGTGTCAGTGAAGGAATTTCTTTTCAATATTCATTCACTCTGTAAATATACACATTGTTTTCTTTTAGAATCGGCACTGAGATATGCAGGAAAAAATCACTTTATAAAACGTGAGGTCTGAAGGTATGATGTTGGTTTGGATTTTGCAAGTGCCTTAAAATGCTTTGCAAGGATATATTTATCCTGAAAACACAAAGATGAATTTCTAATATTGCTTTAATATCTAAGTAAAATCTCATCCCCCACACACATTGACTATTACTTTACTGCAGAGATCGGGGGGAAAAAGGCACACGACAGCCATTTTTTCCCTTCTGAGTAAAAAGAATATTACCAAAAGCAGTAATGGCTTAAGATTTCAACTCTTTATTTGCAGAGAATGCCATTTTAAAATATTAAGGCTCTGGGACGAGAAATAAGAAAGACTATGAAAGAAGGGAGAAAATGCAGGAGAAAATGCAGGAGAGAGTAGGGGAGAGTCTCTCCACACAGCCCCAATTGAAGGATTAAGCATTTGGACTATAAATGAAGGGGAGCTTTGTTAGTTTAACCACTGGAACAATTATAAAAGGACTCAACAACAATGAGCTTTATTGAAAATTTTGCTTAATGCTAACTGACCCATGCAGATGCCTAATTGTATTAGCATATTAAAAGAAGGGTGTATCTGTTTGTTTCTAGGCTTTGATGGAATATCAGATACTGAAAATGTCTCCCAGCCTGTTCATCCTTCTGTCTCTCACACCGGGTATTTTGTGCATTTGTCCTCTCCAATGTATATGCACAGAAAGGCACAGGCATGTGGACTGTTCAGGCAGAAACTTGAGTACATTACCTTCTGGACTGCAAGAGAATATTATCCATTTAAATCTGTCTTATAACCACTTTACTGATCTGCATAACCAGTTAACCCAATACACCAATCTGAGGACCCTGGACATTTCAAACAACAGGCTTGAAAGCCTCCCTGCTCAGTTACCTCGGTCCCTCTGGAATATGTCTGCTGCTAACAACAACATTAAACTGCTTGACAAATCTGATACTGCTTATCAGTGGAACCTTAAATATTTGGATGTTTCTAAGAATATGCTGGAAAAGGTTGTTCTCATTAAAAATACACTAAGAAGTCTTGAGGTTCTCAACCTGAGTAGTAACAAACTTTGGACAGTTCCAACCAACATGCCATCCAAACTACATATCGTGGACCTGTCTAACAATTCCTTGACACAAATCCTTCCAGGAACATTAATAAGCCTGACAAACCTTACACATCTTTACCTGCACAACAACAAATTTACATTCATTCCAGATCAAGCTTTTGAGCAACTCTTTCAGTTGAAAGAGATAACCCTTTACAATAACAGGTGGTCATGTGACCACAAACAAAACATTACTTACTTACTGAAGTGGATGATGCAAACAAAAGCTCATGTGATAGGAACTCCTTGTTCTAGCCAAATATCATCTTTGAAGGAACATAACATATACCCCACACCTTCTGGATTTACCTCAAGCTTATTCACTGTAAGTGGCATGCAGACAGTGGACACCATTAACTCTTTGAGTATGGTAACTCAATCCAAAGTGACCAAAATACCCAAACAATATCGAACAAAGGAAACAACGTTTGGCGCCACTCTAAGCAAAGACACCACCTTGACTAGTACTGACAAGGCTTTTGTGCCCTACCCAGAAGATACATCCACAGAAATGACTGATTCACATGAAGCAGCAGCTGCAACTCTAACTATTCATCTCCAAGATGGAATGGTTACAAACACAAGCCTCACTAGCTCAACAAAATCATCCCCAACACCCATGACCCTAAGTATTACTAGTGGCATGCCCAATAATTTCTCTGAAATGCCTCAACAAAGCACAACCCTTAACTTGCGGAGGGAAGAGACCACTACAAGTGTAAAGACTCGCTTACCTTCTGGGGCAAGTGCTTGGAAAGCAAATGCTTCGTTTCTCTTAATGCTCAATATTGTGGTCATGCTGGCCGTCTGAGGGTCTGCGTTTTCTGAAACTAATGAAAGAACTCCTCCCTGATGTATAGTTGGGAAAATATGCCCCTATCTAACCAGTGATTAAAGCTATATTAAGTATTCAAGAAAGCCAGTGTTACTTTTCTGACTCTGATGTAAATGAAGTAACTTGTCTTAAATAAAAGAACTGCACAATGTCTTGGTACTTGCTGCTATTTTACTGTCTTAAGTAAAACTAATGAATTTCTTTTTTTAATGAAATGCTTTCTTTTTAAGGCTTCAAATTATTGCACAAAATATAAAGCATCTAAACTTTAATATGTATTTTATGTATGTTTACACTGTCAAACATCTGGGGGAAAAATAAATGGTCTATGCTCATAACCGTGTCATTTGGCTTTCTAGTCACACAAACTTCATCTACACAGTAGACTCAAAATGACCTAATCATTTTTGTCCTAGGGAACGGCACCTTGATAAAGTCTTTGTGGTAAATGAAATGTTGGAGGTATCCAAGGATTTTGCCACTAAAATAAAACTGTGGTTGCCACCCCATGAATGATTACGCCACATCATTACTTTACACACAAGCCATAATTGTTTTAAATCTAAATGATGTCCTGCTTCTGAGGAACTCTTGGCTATTTTACAGATTATATAATTGACAAAAGCTCTTCAAAAAGCTAGAAGACACTAGGCTTTGCATTTTAATAAGGAAAGTTTAATGGTTTTGCTTTTTGCAGTTAAGAAAAGTATTAACAACACAAAAAGTTTGGGTTTAAAGTCATGTAAAGGAACAGTTTTAGTGCATATTTAACAAACCATTTATTAATGGAAGTTTAAATATTTACAAAATGAAAAGTCTTCATGTGCAGAAGAGAAAAATTTATCTTTTGCACATCAGAAATTAGAACCTGACTTACCTAAATTAAAAATAAGATTAGTTTCAGGGTAAAACCATGGGGGTCTAACAAACATGGGCAGTACTAAGGGAGGGAGGGAGAGTAAAAGGAAAGGAGGAAAGAAAAAATAGATGGGATTCATTTGGTGCTACAACCAGATGATGAACCAATATAACAGACAATAGGACTAGGCTGGACATGGAACATATCTTAACACTCCAAATCAAATTGCACTAGGACTCCAACTAGAAGAAAATCAAGAATTTTCTATAAATATAAAAGTAAGCCACCTTATGAATTAGAGACAAACATAAGTAATAGCTAAGAGTCAGAAAAAAGAAGCTCTGAAACAAAGCTAGATTAAAATGTAAGACAGTATAATTGAAATGGGTGAGCCACAAACGAGGTGTTTAATTTGTGAGACATAAGGAAGAATCTATTTCAAGCATTCCTAGCTGGGAAAAGAGAACAGAAAGAAATTTTTATGCTCCTTCTGAAGAAATTTTAAAATTAAGATAGACTTCTTTCCAGGGTTGGGAACATTTCTATTTAGAGAAAAAGAAAGGGGGGGAG